GCCGATATCTTTTTAAGATCCAAGAATAACAACAGCAACATATTGAGAAAACTGTATAAAAACAAATAAAAAAAATAAAACTGTACTTTTTTATTATCTGAGTAAATATTAGTAAAATAAAAAATCTATAATTTTTGTATCCATCTAGTGTTCTGAAAAAGTTTTTATTGAAATTGTGATTGGATTGTTTTAAGGCGATTTTTATCGAATTTCTGGCCCTCGTTGTGGGTTGGAACTAATATTTTCTGCCATCAATTAGTTGTCTAGAGAAGAAAAACCAATACAATAAGAGAGCTTTGATGCTGATATTCGGATAAATGTGTGCCTTGTAAATTCTCTAAATCGCCTTAAAATTACTTTTCACAAACGGTATTTATTATTCAAGAAAATTTCACCCTGTTCAAAAAATTGTTTAAAAAATGTATGCAAAAACCGACTTTTTAAGCCAGTCATAATTTTCTGAAACATTTTTTAAAATAATTCTAGAAAAACAAAAAAATATGTTGCCAATAAAATAAAAAATGGACTAAAAAGAGGTGATTTGAAATAAAATCATAAATAAGGAATTTCAAAAAATCGACGACTTCTTTTTTACATCCAAATGCAATAACTTTTGGGTCAATCAAGTGTTGCCAAAAAGTTGATTTATTGAAATTGTGTTTGGATTGTTTTAGCCGATTTTTATCGAATTTCTGGCCCTCGTTGTGGGTTGGAACTAATATTTCCTGCGATCAATTAGTTGTCTTGTTCTTGTTAGGAGTTCTAATGTCTTTTTGAGTTAGTTTATCATTTGGTAAGTAAGATATGTGGGTCACGTAAATATCAGATCGATAAGTTTCCGAAGAGTTTTTAGCGTGAGCAAAGTTTGGAATTTTTTCGTCTGGAATTGGTTTTGAGGATAGAAAGTTGTGTATTGAATAGAGTGCACATCTTATTAATTAAAACGTAACACTTAAGCAGCGATAAACAAGTTTTACATTAAAGTTGTCGGCTGAAGTTTAGACGAGGCCTTAATATAATTAGCGAAGAACAAGCCCAACAAACGCACATCGTAATTAATTAAAATAATTGGATTCGGATTCCGGAAACGTAGCCTCGTGTAAAAATAAACAATTGTCAAGGATCTTGGAATAATTATGAAAATCTCGAGTGGGTTAATTCGGCGTAAAGGCCAATTTGTCAACGGGTTATCCAAACAAGTCGACGAATAATCCGCCATATATCAGTCGAGTGCTCGCCGAAGAAGCCGAAGAGGGCTGTTCTTGCCCGGATTTCGAGTCGACTAGTTTGTGTGTGTACTCAGCGCTTCGCGACCGCCATAAATCTACCACTCTACTGTTGGTATAAGTTTCGGCTTTTGACTGCGGCTCGTGATCCGCCTTTGCGAGTTGTGTCGGAGGCCTAAGCCGGCTCCAGGCGTTTTAGCCAACCGAATACAAAAAAAATACATAAAGAACTAGATCTATACGTATTTAGAACGAAAAGAAACCGCTTTGTTTGCTCGGCCGGAGTGCACCTGTGGAATCACGAATTCCGGGCTCCGGGCGATTTTTAAACAAATGAATCGCTCACAATGGACGCGGTAAACTTGCAAGAGTTTATTAATTTAATTACGTACTTTGTTAAGAGAGTTGCTGGCTAATGAAGGATCGGGGAGAGATTTTCTGGAGGAAACGTGCTTTGTATAATTTTTTTTCGAAATAAACAAAAACGCGGAAATTCGGGTTTTATTAATGGCGATGCTTTTACTTTCGAAGAGGTTTCTTGTAATGTAATCTTCTCGCGTGTCGCTCTCGAAATCACTCGAATTGATTTAAAATTTCAATCTTGGAAGATTGAGTTGCGCCATCATATGAGTGACGCACCTTCTCCTTCAAGCACGGCTTGATAAATTAACTTTTCATTTGTATGAAAGTTTGCTTTTGTCCGGATTGAAAAACGCTTTAAAATTAGAATAGCGCCTGTTTCGAAATGTTCCTACTAAATCAGTATGCCATTGTAGTTTGTACAATGAGCTTAGTATTATAGCGCGAGCTTTTGTTCTCCAACTAAGGCATTAACTAACTTCGAGTTTGTCTTAGGCTCTTGTTTACAGTCGTCTCTGGTCGTAATTAGATCGTGCATTCGTTAATTACACGTAATTTAGCAATCCGTGTCAAGCCCAAGACTCTCCTCTCATTGCAGAAAAAGTTAACATGCTTTCATACTACAAGCTTATTTTTCAAAAATCTTTGTTTAATCCTTTTTTATTTTAAAATCACATTTGAGAAAATACAATACTTGATAACATACAACAACATCTGTTTGAATCCAGGTTGTTATAGCATCACTCAGAAATGATAAACAATGATTGATGAACTGAGAAATAAATTAGATTCGGAATAAGAATTTACTTTTTTGACAAACTCAATTTGCACAAATTATTTGTTACCGATATTTTCTATTTTTTCAAGAAATGGACTTGAAATGAAATTAAAATACAAATCAAAATTAAAACATTTAATTTTTTTCTTTATTGTTTGTTTTTTGTCCTAATTTACACTTTGTTCCAGAATCTGCTATATTTTTTTTTATCTTTTCAATATTCTAATTGAAGTAAAGCTTTCAACACTACTTATCAAAGTCTGTAAGACCTGCTTATACAGGAGGCGCCCCAGAGAAAATTTTCAAGTAAGATAAGATACCAGGAACATGAAAAAAATGTTTAAAAAATTCTATCTGTCAAAAAATGTTGACACTTAGTTTTTGACATTTGACATTTTTTTATATCTATACTAATGATACTAATGATCTTGTATATGTTTTTTTACAATTATTTAGTAAAGGGACAAAAATTTTGCCAGCAAAAGCCACAAATAACATTGAACAGAGTTACAATTTAGGATACAGCTTCCTTGTTTCCCCTTTTAATAGCCTATAGCAAAAAAACTTATTTTATTATTTTTCCAACAAAAATAAATAGAGTCAAAGTGCAAACTTCAAACCGTAAGAACTTCGAAATTTTTATAGATAAAATTTTTTTGACGTATTTTCCATGTTCCTGGTATCTTACCTTATATGGCATTTTTCTCTGGGGCGCGAGTTCTGGCGCAGCCTTTTTTATTTTTGGCCAATTATTTTTATCTTTGTTCGGCGAAGCTTAAGGGTTGTGGAGCAAATAACAGTCGCTGTTGTACTATTATAAAAACTCGATTTATTATAAAAATAATTTGATTATATACAATTTCTAACTTAAACTAAAACAGTAAATCTAAAACATTGGCTACCTTAATGATGAATTACCAATTTATTTTATAAAACTATATTGATGATTGTTTGTTTGTCGCTGGCATAATGACCCAATTAAGACATTTCGCTGATCGTTGCTGACCGCGCGGAAGTGTCTGCTCGGGTCGGTGCACTATTGCGACAAACTTGTCGAAATGTTAAATTTTATAAAAAAATGAAAATTGTTCGTTTGAACATCTTGCCGACCACAAAGAAAAAAAAATGATGAAAAAAACTAATTGACAACCAATACTTAAATTAACCTTTAACATTAACCAAATTCAATTACAAAAGTACTTAGATTGACTTAAAATTAATTAATGCTTTTCTAATTCTAACACTACCACTCGCTAAGTCGACACTGTGAACACATACACACACTCTAACGACGGGGTTCGGCGTACACTTGGTCGCTGTCAACTCGGAGAGGTTGAAGCTCGATCCCTTCATCCAGTCTTTGGCTTGGACCTTGGGCTGGCCTTAGAT